ATGCGGACAGCAGGAAGCGGGCCGAGCACAAGACGGAGGATGGGAAGAAGGACAAGTACTTCCTCTTCTACGACGGGGAGACGGTGTCCGGGAAGGTGAGCCTGGCGCTCAAGAACCCCAACAAGCGGCTGGAGCACCAGGGCATCAAGGTCGAGTTCATCGGGCAGATTGGTGAGTGCAGGATCCACCCCACCCGGTCCCGCCCCCGTGTCCCGGTCCCCGACCCTGTCCTCCACCCGCAACCCTGACCCCGACCCCTGACCTCGCCTCTGACCCCCCCACTCCCGCTCACTAACCCCTGGTCCCTGACACGACCCCCGACCTTTGACCCTGCTCCATAACCCTTGCTTCCTAACCCCCGCCCCCATTACTTCGACTCCGTATCCCCTTTCCCCCGCCTCAGGCCGCGCAGCCTTGTTGCCCACCCGGGGTCTTACGTCGTAGCTTTAAGGTTATTGTTGGATTCTTTGGCTCTGCAATGCGAGTGCAGACAGGCATGTCTAGCCAGTGTCTGTACCATCATTCCAGGGGGTGACACCTCGCCAATACATGAAAGGTAACCAGAGCGTCCCCTGCCCCCCTGTGCCCCAGCAGTTGTGAAATGAGCTGTTCAGGGGGGACACTGGCAAGGCCTCCCTGCAGTCTGAATGAAAGGGAGTTGACAAGGTGCCGTCCCTGCCCTGCCTGGCTTCTTGTCTGTCTCTTGGCATCCCAGGACAGCAGCCCTGCTCAGATTTCTAAGAACCTTTTGTTGCTTCCATTGATAACTCTCCCTGGGCCCCTGAGCACTCTGGGCTGAGTCCACCCTTGGCTTTGGGGAAGCTGTACCCCTCTCTGGGCCTCAGCTTTCTCACCTGTAAGGCAAGGATAATAACAGAATCACCTTGTTGAGATGTGTAGGGACCAGGCTTCGTGCATAGTGTGGTGTATTTGTCTCCTGTACCTGAGAGGCTCTGTGAACTGACCTCAGGGCACTGGAGCGAGGCTGGTGAGTAAGTTCCCCGTGGTTGTGGTCGTGTGGTTTTCTCCTTCGTTGCTTTCTTGATGCTGCATGAAGTGGGTGGAACTTCGGTCGGGCTCTAAGGTCTGGCTGTACGGATGACGCACAGGATGGCCCTACAGCTGGACGGGGGTAAGAACGGCGGTGTCACTGTGCTCTGGACACCTTCCTCGTCGGTTTCACAAAGAACTTTTCTTCTTACAAACCATAGTCTCTTGGATTTGCTTCTTTTTTCCTTCTTTCTTTCCTTCCTTCCCTGCTTCCTGGGAAGAGTTTCTGGGAAGAGTTCCACAGCTTGAGAATGAAGTGGTGTATGTAATTAACCTTCCTACCCTTATGATTAATTTCTTTTTCCTGCTGATGA